ACAGGGCCGTCTCATGATATTCGGAGGCCCTGTTCAAAAATTTGAAACGGGCCCTAAAAGTTTTTCTCCTTAAATTTAGTAAAAATAAAAATTATTAAATAATTATAAAAAATATATAAGTTCATAAAATGATTACAAAATGAATAAATGATCACGTTTCCAGTTTGACCAAGAAACCAAGACAAAATTCCTAGCTCTAGTAGGGAGGAAAGTAAATCTGGAGGGACAAGAAAACAGATATAGCGCAAAAATTGAATGGAGAAATAAAAATAGTCTAAATTGATCGAGAGGTGGGTGTGGGGCTGTTTAATGGATTGTTGAGTCCTTGTTCCCAAATCGATACGTGGTCCAAATTGAATTTTAAATATAATAAAACTAAAATAATTATAATATCATTATTCGAAATGTAATATATTTCTATATTGTTTGAAATAACATTATCTATTATCTCTCGAGTTTTTGTATTCTCCATGAAATCTTTTTCAATTGTTATTATAGCTAAAATTATCTATTAAACTCGTCATCATACTCATAATCAATCAATCATACACTAAAAATACAACCTACAATATACGATCAATAACTAACATATCTAAGTTGAGACCCCTAATATTCGGAGGTCCTGTACCAGAGGGCGGGCCAACACACCCTCTTGGCCGGCCCTGCAGGTCGGTAAGATTTGCTAAACTAAGTTTGTTGTAATGAGATAATGTACTTTTTGCTAAACTAGGTTTGTTGTAATGAGATAATGTACTTGCGATGAGATTAATAAAATATGCCCGTGGCTTCCACCTCCGAGCAGGCTCTTAAACAACAGTGGCGAAAGAGAAAGTAAAGTGGAAAATTATATAGAACATGAAAGCTGGGTACGCTTTTTCACCCATTTTTGTTATCACTGTTTCACTTCTTGGCGTCTTGTGGGAGGCGAGTAGAAGAGCTTCACCCATGCACTTCCTTCGCCGACCCCCGAATGTCGTACCTCCTCTTTCCTGCCTTCACTTAGACCTTACCCTAGAATCAGCGACCGCAAGTTACTGCCCATACATCGCAGGCAGCAATACAGTGATGGTGCCATTCCTTCGCTGCTTTGGCCCCAAAATCAGCATTCAACGAGCAGTTTTTCAGTAATGTCCATCTTTTCATCATTCCATTATGCTTTTCCGGACTTTCCTCTACCTTCACAAATGCTCGCACACGCCACCGCCCATCCCTTCGGCAGCTCTCGCATTGGTCCGCTCAATGGGAAGATTGATATCCTATGCATCACTCCGTCTCGCTTCTTTCCCCCCTCCTATTCGATTCTATTGTTGCTCTGTTCCCATTTTCACCCCAACGCTTCTGCCAAACCTCTGACACCACTCTTGCCTCTTCTACTTGCAGGCATGAATCACACAGTCCTTTCAAAGTTGGAGTGGATGGACAAAGCTCCTACCCTCAAATTACGTCTCCTCTATACATGGATGGCTGGAAACCCGTACCGGGCAGAAGGCTTCTCTGAGTACTCGAAGCTTTGGACAAACGAATTGGTGACCTCTTTCCATTGTTGGTTTCTTCTACCGCTCATACGTGGCCTTTGTAATTTCATTGTTTCCTCTACTTTTCCTAGGGGGTGCTGGTGCAGGGACTGACATCGAGGCATCCTACAGCCCAACTGAAAGAAGTTCTTGCTGTTCGGAAGGTTTACTTCGTAAAATAGTTCTCCCAGCGTGAGTCAGGAAAAGGTTGGGCACTCTGCTCCAATGACCGTCTCCTCTATTTTACTTCAAACATTTCCTTTTCCTCTCGGATGAAGACGACTCGAGCTTTTGTCCAGGTAGCTTTGAGTTCCGCCAGCTCGAGGACACGCACGACATTGCTTCTTGACTTGGACAGGTAGTTGGTTTGTCTTTGGCTCTTTCCTTGAAGCTTATCCGAGTTTGGACATGCCTACTAAACCAAATCCTCTTCGTAGATGTAGTTGGTACGTTGGCATCTGCAACGCCTGTCACCTATTTTCATAAACAACTCCTGCTTATTCAACACACAGAAAGCTCAAGCCAAAGTTCAGGTTGGTTCCTTTTACCTATTACTGAATCTTATGCAAAAGGAAGCATTACACTGAAATGTGTCCTTGCTGCAGATCCTTTTATCAGCTTTTGAATGACCACATTCTAATGAGAGGTAAGATGGTTTTTATGAGTGATCATTGTCCATACACAACAGAACATATGCTGATTATTGATTGTCCAACACTGCTACTTCATTGTGCTTACAAAATGTAGTTATAGTGCTCTTTGATTGAAATTTATATGTATAAGTTGTGAAAAGTGAAAACTGATGCATTCATTTGAAGAAAAGGAATCCAAAAGAAAAAGACACTTAAGCTGCTGCAGATGACACTGAAATCTTTGCCTTTAGTGAACCGAGTCTCTTATTTTCCATATAAAACGTTGCATTTGGGAAGGAGTACACTCTTGCTATATCCGAAGTTCTTAGGTTTTAAAATTTCCCTCAACATGACACTCTTAGCTCGCAGAATAGTCTGTGATCATGCTTGCATATTGTTATACATGATACTTGATTAGAGTTAATTCATTAGTTGAAGGCATTAAGAACTTGGTTCTCTTAATTACATAACATCGTGAATGATAAGAAAAATGACATGTTGTCTCTGCAGCAGGCATTGGGGATGCTCGGAGACAATAATAATGGTCTTGGTGGTATATGCTCATCAGAGGAAGAGCTCCAGGATCCTGTATATCATTTTAAGTAAGAATTTCCATGGGTTTCATAAATAATTGTTCTGATTTTCATTGCCTCTTTTTCTTAATGATTAATACGGTATGTCTATCTTAGGGTGTGCTGGTTCAAGGAGTGGCATCCTGGCAGCTCACTGAACGGGTTCTCAATGTTCAGTGGCTACGATTCATCAGCTCAACCCTACCAGTTTTATGCTCATTCTCTCTCAATGTCGGTTTCTTTTAATAACTAATACGCAACAGGGAGATACTTCAGACTGGTTGCTAGCATGCTGGTTTAGCCTGGGGGATGTGATTTCTGTTATGGCCTTGACAAGGAGGCCACAAGTGTCGAAGAACATGTTGATCTTTGACCTTGGTGGTGGTACTTTTGATGTTTCCCTGACAACAATTGAAGAGGGTATCCTTAAAGTGAAGCCAGTTGCTTAAGACACGCACCTTGGTCAGAGGATTTTGACAGCAGATTGGTCAACCACTTCCTATAATTTCTTTGCTTTTTTCATGACCGAGATGTCATCCAGTTTGCGATTAATTTCTTAAATTTTACATAGCTTCATGCTTATTATTTACCTGTTATTCTTGCAATTTATATATACCTACCATGATTCAAGCAATTAGCATGTCAGGTTGTTTTGGTTGGATTTTGGGTTTGTTTTGTCCCTCCATTCTGTTTGCACTATTTTGCATTCTATTCCTATCAAGTGTGTCTAAAAACAAAAAACTTATGAAATAACCTATATGCATCCAGTTTGTACTCTTGATTCTTTCTTAAGGACTTCTAAAATGCATGATACACCAACGTTGTATGTCATGGAAGGAGTAATACATTTGATTTTTTTTTTTTGTTTGTGTCATACATTAACATATACAAACATTTTTTTTGCTAAATTGATTGCTTGATACCCTTGCCAGTTGCCCCTGTTCCCATACCACCCAAATCCCTCGCCTGACTGATAATATACAAAAACCCAGGGATTGTCAAAACTCAGAAAGGAAAAGAAAAGAATTAGACTTCCCACAAGTACCATTGTACCATGCTTCACCTTTCCTCTCACTTCTGAGAGCATGAATGAAATATTTTTAACCTTCCTTCTCTTTGTCGAATCATTTTCCCATAGTATTCCCAATCCAGCCACATCCATCCCTTATTTCTATCATCCAAAATCGTCTCTCCATCACTCTATTGCATCAACTTTTCTTTCACTAATTGTTGGATGTTGCGGCATTGGTGCATTGGTTTCAAACTTTTAAGCACAATCTAATAATAAATGTCTTAATTCTCAACCTATACTACTCATTCTCAACTACCATGTGATCTCTTTATTTGGTAGTTGAAAGTTGTAGCTTGAGTTTTAGTTGTCATTTAATGTTCACTTGCTCTATTTGACCATAAGATGTTTAGAGTGCAGTATGAATGAAGGAAGATTACTGCCTTCAAAGACAACCTTTTTTACAAATTGAAAAAAGATAGTTGGAGGAAGAGGAAGAAAGAAAAAGGAAAACATATTTTCTCGGTGTGGTGTTAATATTGAACTTCACAATCTATTGATGAGTAGATTAAATGTATCAGATTTACCTTAATTTAAAGATAACTCTTTTGACAGACTTTAATGTCCTGATTTATGTTTTATGAATAATTTTTATGATATATACTTGGTGTATATAATTTATAACTATGTCCTGTTATAATTATCGTGTTTCTAAATAATGCTTCACAGTACTAAAAGATCATGTGCCGTAGCCACGGGTATTAATTCTAGTAAAAGAGAAAACCAAGCTACCACTACAAGATCATTTATTAACCAATTGATTCCGATACAACATGACCACATCAATATTCAAAGACACTAGAAAATAAATTCTAGGCATTGCTAGTTTGCTACAATAACCAGCTGAGCTGACACTCGACCAAAATATTTCAACGAAAGACTGTGTTTCCTCGGCGAACAAATTGAACACCCAACGCTAAACCAAAGAAAATCCCAACTTAACAACCTGTGGCGAGTGGTACTAGCTAGCTAGGAAGGCTTTCCCACCTCTGACAAGAGTCCCAACATTCCCTACCTCTGCCTTTCCAAAACTAGGCAGATGAGAGAGAGCAACAGTAACCATAACAATGTCACAAAATCAACAAGAATGAAGGTGTCAATCTCAATCAAAACTGTAGAGATCGAGATCCCCTTGTCGTCGATTTTCTATACGCCGACCCAATTTAGAAAACAAAAAGGAGAAACAGACAATGGTCCTCTGACCGGCCCGGCATTAAAACTGGAGGCCGGTGTAGGTCTGGCCGAAAGACCAGCCGGGCGGCGCGACGTTGTTGGAGACAATAGTCCGTCCGTCGCTGGTGGTGACCTTGAAGGACAGGCTCTGGCCGTTGAGGAAAGCATTGCTCTGCCAGTTTTGGCCCCAATTCCTGGACATGGGCTGCCAGTTTCCCTTGGAACCTTTAACCGAGGCTGCCACCACGTCCCCGGCGCCTCCCACGTTGGTGATGAGGACCAAGTTGAAGTAGGAGTGGCCGTTGATGGTGAATCGCATCCCGCCTCTCTTCTGACAAGCCACCCTGCAACATCGGCCGACCAGTTTAATTTCAACCCCCAGACTAATTGATTGATTAATTAATTACACAATCATCATCTTACATATTGCAAGAAAAGAAGCAGAAAAAAAAAAAAGTCAGAATGAATTAGCTAGCTAGCCTACCTGCGGTAGGAGACAGGGACGATGCCGGCGCTGTACTGGGCGATCTGCTGGAAGACGGGCTGGGCGAGGTCGAAGTGGTGGAGAGGAGGATTGCACCAGCCGCCTTCGTTGTTCGGCAGGGCGTTGTTTGGCGGGCAGAAATTGGTGGCGGTGACGACCACCGACCCAGCTGAGCGGCACCATTTCTGGTCCTTCACGCACCTCAGCTCGAAGCAGGCCCCGCACCTCAGCCCGTTGTTGAACAACGCCGTGCTCAGTGCCGCCGTGTTTGTCCCGTACCCTTGGCTGTACAGGTTCCCGTACCCACACGCCCCGCCTGCAACAATTATAATTACTAATTTAATTCCCCCGGACCATTCATTCACAACAAAAGAAGAGAGCAAGGTTTAATTTGTACCCATTGTGCCAGCGGCGTCGCCACCACCGTAGAAAGTAGCATGAGCGTCGAACCAGCCGCCTCCATCAACGGCAGCCACGGCTGAGACGAGGAGGCTTAAGGAGATGAAAAACAATGGTGCGCCCATTGTGTGCATGTTATCTTCTTGTGTTATGTGCGTCCGTCCGTGGGAATTAATGATGTTGGGAGGTGGGAAAGGTGGTGGGGAGCAAAGCAAGCTATCTCCCTCTCTATATATACAAAAAATAGTGGGCCGATCGGTAAGCTCTTCAAATGTCTCTCACAAACAAACTATAACAAAGAAATGGTTTCTATTTGTTAATTATATTAATTAATTACTTCTTTTTATTTATTTATTTATTTATTTATTTATTTATTTATTTATTTATTTATGAATAAGGTGTTTTATTCATCAAGAAAGAAATGGCAATGTGTCACCCCTCACTGGAAACCTTCTCAAACCATACAAAGTCTCCCGACCTTAGAAATACAAAGAAAACACAATCTATAGAGAGACTGATACAAGCATGAACAAGAACAGTCTAAATGACAACGCTATCTAACAGAGGATAAGAAATAATCGAAGCAGCAGCAGGAACACTACATTTAAGCCGTCGTAGTTGATCCTGGATCTTTTGTACCAATTGTTCTTCTGGGAGGAGCTTGATATCATAAAGTCGTATGCAGCGCTCCCTCCATACTTCACTCACCAACAACATCCAAACTAGTATGCCAAATCTAGCTTACACAATTTCTACTTTGAACTTAGTTACTGCCAGTTGCAAGGAGCCCTCCTAGCTTCTGCAATATAGAGAGGAAGCACCTGGAATCACTCGCATTACTTTCCTGGCGTAACTGCAATCAGATTACAAATGGTCCCTTGATTCAGGGACAATTTTACAAAGCGGGCAAAGATTTATTATCGCCTGATTCCACTTCTGGACCTTGTCCAAGGTTGAAATTCGATCTTGAATTATTAACCAGACAATGAGCCTATTTCGGAGTAGACATAGTGAATTCCAAACCAGCTTACACCAAGGGACCTGAGGCTACTTCACTCTTATTACTTCCCAAACCTTCTTTACCGAATATCTTTCCATAAGATCTCCATTCCAGAACACGCCAGTACTTCATACCAGTAGGTAACCTTCTGCTAGTATTCTGGCTTTCAATGCCTACGCCAAGCCCAAGAGTAGTGAACAGTAGACGAAATACACCAAATGGAGCTATAAGTTAACTGATATCGCCTGATCCAATTTGCCAATAATGGAGAAGAGGTCGACAAAATCGCCCACAAATGCCTTATTAAACAAGTTGTGTTCCAACTCCGAAGATCTTTAAACCCCAATCCCCCCTTAGCTGTTGGAAGAGCTACTCTGTCCCATCTGACTTTTGCTTTCTTACCTTCCCATAGGTAGTTAGAGCAAGCTTTTTCGATTTGTTTAATCACTTTTACCGGGAGCTGGATTATACTCATCCAGTATTGAGTAATATTGGCAATGACCGAGGAATTTAATTGTAGCTTCCCAGCGTAAGATAGCGAATTCACCCCCTGCCTTTGAGTCTAGTAGTGATCTTGTCAACAAGAGCTTTGCAGTCCACATAGTTTAGTTTCCCTGCCACTAGGGGAATACCAAGATAATGTACAGGGAGACTGCCAATCTGGATCCCAGTATCTTCTGTAATGAGCTGCTGATCATCATTATTTACACCCGCACAAAATATCTCGCTCTTGGAAGGATTACACTTCAACCCAGAAATTTCATAGAAAGCATCTAGTATCCTCTTAGATATTACTACAACATCACAAGTGCCCTTTGTGAAGATCAACAAATCATCCGCGAAACATAAATGGGTGAGTTCTATTCTGTGTATGTGGGTGAGAGCTAAACGACTTAACAGTAAGGTCTTTATTCAACATTCTCAACTGAACCTACATATATTCCGATGCATCAAACAATCAACGACTACGATCTTGGGTTCACTCATTAAGGGTTAGGGTATAGTACCATGCCCAAAAATCCTGTTAATCCGAGGTCTAGATAGTGTTTTCTTACTCAGGGTATGTCGTACCCTAGATTTTACCTAAGGTATGATAGAAGCCACCATATATATAGATATATTTGAGCTCCGAGAGGCCATCTCTCTCGTGGACTAGTCCCGAATCTCGGGAATACCACGTATATTGTGTGTGATTTATCGTTTTCATTTTTTAAGCTCGATTTGTTGACATGGTATCAGAGCTTTCGCCTGGCAATTCTGATTGCCTTGTGGTCCGATTGAACTCCAAGAATTATGCATTGTGGGAGTTCCAGTTTCGTGTCAATATGGAGGGAAAAGGCCTTCTTGGCTTGATCGATGGCTCCTTGGAGAAGCCTGATGTTATGTCATCGGTCGCTGACTTCACAAAATGGTCTCAAAGTGATGCTCGGGTTCGGTCTTTGATCTTGGGGTCGGTGGATCCGACCATTGTTCTTGGTCTTCGGCTGTTGAAGGATGCTCGCTCTGCGTGGAAGCATCTTGAGACTATGTATTCGTTCAACAATATGGATTGCCAATTTGAAGTTCAAACCGCGTTGGATCATCTTGAATAGAGCGACCGGGACATGTCTACTTATTTCAACGATGCACAGGAGCTGTGGACTGAGCAAGACTTGCACACTGTCGCTTTGCGTTTGAAGAAGCTTCTATCGAAGTTATGGAGGAGAGGCTCCTGCAGCGTCTTCTTCAGTTCTTGACAAGGTTGCGCCCTGAGTTCTAATGTGTTTGGTCTAGTCTCATCAACCAGGACGAGATCACTATGGACGGAGTCCTCGGCAAGTTCCTTTGACAAGAAACCCGTATCCGTACCCAATCAAAGCTGAACACCCGTCCTGGTAAAGGAGATGTTGTCTATGGATTGCCCCTCTCTCAGAATCGTCGTCGATCTTCTTCTGCTGCCCGCTCAGAACAGGCTTGGTCATCCACTCATCAGGCCTTTGCTGCTCAACCGTCCCAGCCTCCTACCAGCAGCTATGCGCTGACTCCGGAAGCGGTCGAAGGTCTCGTTCATGCTGCTCTGCAACGCTCTCTGTCGACTGCCCTCAGCTCCGCTTTCGCCTTGCTTCAAACCTCAGGTATCCTTAAACCCTGGCTGCTTCATTCTGCATGCTTTAACCACATGACTTAGTGATGTTTCTACGATTCAAAATGTTATGCTGGTTAATGACATGAGCTTGCAGGTAGTGAATGGGGACCGATTGGGTGTTACGGGTATTGGGTGTCATGCAACCCTTAGTTACACTTCCCAATACTCTGTTTGTTCCCAAGTTATTTCCAAACCATGTTTCGTTTGGCCAACTTGCTGACAAGGTTATCGTGTTGTGTTTGGACCCTATGGCTGTGTTGTGCAGGAAGAGAAGACGGGGAAGCAGGTCGGGCGTGGGAGTAGACATGGTCGTGTATTTCATTTGGAGGAGCTCTGGGATCAATCGTCAAGCTGTCAGTCCTTGTCTGTGTCCCCTTTGCGTTCTGTTTTTTCGTGTTCAGTCTTTTCGAGTCTTGCTGATGAACATTTGAATCTTTGGCATTCACGTCTTGACCATCCCCATTTGAGTTAGCTTGTATCGATGGTCAAACTTGGTCTTTTTGGAAATAATAAGATGATTGATAGATCCTCCACTCACATGTGTACTAGTTGTTTCACCGCAAAATCTACTCAAAAAAGCTTCCCGTCTAGTACTACTATTGTCCATAATTCATTTCACATTGTCCATACCGACCTATGGGGTCCTTCCCCCGTTATTTCTAGGCATGGCTTTTGCTATTTTTCTTTATTTGTGGATCATACTACTCGTTTTGTTTGGGTGTATTTTCTTTGTTTGAAATCAGATAAACTTTCTATTGCTGCTGAGTTTATGGCCATGGTTAAAACTCAGTTTGGAAAACATGTACGGATAGTTTGGTTCGACAAAGGAGGTGATTTTAGCTCTAATGCTCTTCTCACCCCCTATCTCTCACTTGGCATGTTATTCCAAAAATCGTGCCCCGATGTATCCCAACAAAATGGTGTAGTAGAAAGGAAGAACCGCTATGTCCTAGAAATAACTCGTGCTCTCCTTCTTGAGTCCTTTGTTCCTCCTCGATTTTGGCTTAAGGCGGTTTCTACTGTCGTTCGTTTGATAAATTATAAAGTCACTTCTACCTTTGGGAATAAGAGTCTTACTTCGCCTTGTTTTCGTCTCAGCCCAATTATGGTAGCCTTAGAGTTTTCGATTGCACTTGTTTTGTTCTCCTTCCTCATCGTGAGTGCGATAAGTTGCCGTCGAAGACTACCCATTGTGCATTTTTGGGGTATAGCTCGGTTCACAAGGGCTGCATTAGTTTTGATCCTTCGTTAAATAGGGTTCGAGTGTCTTGTAATGTGGTATTTTTTTAGCATCTCCCCTCCTTTGAGTCTTCTTTGGAGTCCAAAGAATTTGCTTCTTCCATGCGTCCCTTGTCCTTTGACAGCCTTGATCCACGCGAGCTTGATCCAGCTGAAGATGACCATTTGCCCGACATTTCCCCACCTCCGTCTCCACAGGCTTCGTCGCCTTCGTTGTCCTCAGTTGGTTCGTCCCCGTCGTCATCAGCATCTTCGTCTCCATAGTCCTCGCCGGCCATCTCCTTCTCCTCCGCCCGCTCCACTCCGCAGATCCACTCGGTCTACCCTTGGTCTGCCTACTTACATGCAAGAGTATGCTAATATCAAATAAATCATTCGAGTAATTAGTGTACTATTGATTTAATTCATCCGGCCAACGAGCGAGCTCTAATTCTAATCCTCATTTATTAACTTTTTGATAGTCGATCTAGCCTGCCTGATATTTACTGAGTCATGGAAAAACTTGGATTAATATCATATTTATTAATTAATTTTTATCTGGATCAATAATAATAACTAACTATGGCAAAAATGCTTTACCTGCCCGACCGTTGCTACTTTTCTCACGTGAATGAGTATCATGTTCCAATAAAAATTCCAATATAAATTTTGGATGGTGAAGGAAAAGTTTTTGTTAGGCAAAGCATCTGAAATTTCTGAAAATATAGATTGATTTCTATAGTTAGACGATACTAAAAAAAAATTTGAACCTAGAACATTTAATTTTAAGACTAATAGTATTACCAAAGGTAAGATAGTTTAACCGTAAAGTTGTCGTGACAGTG